CTAAACTAACTATGATAGATGTGATTCATACCATTTGCTACTCAATTATGCTGCTCAATACTGACCTGCACCTGGCTGATATTGAGTCGAAAATGACCCGCAGTCAGTTTATCAAGAATACCATGACAACCATCTTGCAGGCTGTCGATGAATCCGCCCCTGATGCTTTCCACCGCCCAAGCATTCTTCCAGACAAGAATGGCCTTGCGGCTGGTCAGAGCCAGGACCCGCCTTCTGAGCAGGACCGACGTTCTTTCAGAAACTCCTTCAGACCCCCGGCTCGTGCTGACTCGGGTACTCTGCCTGGTGAGGGTATTGAAGACTGCGGCCCCTTGGTCAAGTCCCGTTTTAATGGCACGAGAAAGGCCTGGGAGGAACAGATAGAGACTGTCCTCAAGGGAATCTATACCTCTATCAGAGATGAAAGGCTGCCCTTGTTTGGCGCTGAATCTGAGAAGAACGCCAGCCTACAGCCTTCCCACAGTGGAGGACTCTCTGTAATGGGCATGCTAAAAAGAACTCCTAGTGTCCTTAGTAAGGCTCCCTCGGAGAGCCAGCTATCTGTTCGCGGCCGAATCAATGAGAACGGTCGAGCCAATACAGCAAGGTGGACATCCAAGAGTCGATCACGCGCTGGCATGAGCCGCAACGGCTTTTCTTCGAGCCGTACAAGCTTCGACGACGGCAATTCACTGTGGAGTCCTACACCGTCCTCCGCCACATGGAGCCGCCACTCTCTTGGGAGGACTCAAACATCTGTTTCACAAGACTCCTTTGGCTCTCACCTCCCTCGAGGGGACTATCAGCAATCGATCGGTTTTGCAAATGCACTGAGTCAAGCCATCATTCGAGATGAAGAAATGTACGGGGACGGTGCCCCATCCATCATGAGCTCCGAGATCCCGGCAACTCAACTCCTTGAAGACGAGTCTCTTGAACTTGCTGGCCCCCCATGGGTCAAGGAGGGAATGGTCACTCACAAGCACCACCTGGATGGCGTGGATAAGAAGGCCAAGGCCAGAAATTGGTCCGAAGTCTTTGCTGTCATTCAAAAGGGACAGCTGAACCTGTTCTCATTCCAACCTAACAAATCTGTCCGTTCGAGAAACCGCGGCAGAAACGCTGGCGGTGCCCCTGCTATTGTCGGTGGTGGCAACTGGCAAGATAATGCAACGAATCTGGGCTGCTATAACCTACGACAGACTCTTGCATCTGCGCTTCCACCGCCAGGTTACTCTCGGGCCCGCCCACATGTATGGGCGCTGAGCCTTCCTAACGGCGCTGTCCACCTATTCCAAGTCGGCACACCCGAGATTTGCAAGGAATTTGTTACTACAGCCAACTACTGGAGCGCTCGTTTGAGTACCCATCCATTGACTGGTGGTATAAGTAACATCGAGTATGGGTGGAGTGAGGCAATTGTCAACAACGCTTTGGTATCAGCCATCAACGAGACCACGACCGGCAAGACATCGCGACCCGGAAGCAGCGCAACACATGGCCGGAGGTCAAGTGTTAACAGTGGTAGTTTCCGAGGATCAAGCTTTGATCACGTTGCGGGTGCTTTCACCAACAATAGTGGACGTGGTAAGCTACCTGGCGATCGGATTCACATTGCCGAATGGGCACCACCCACCCAGAGCATGCGGCCCAGCAATCAGCCTGAGGCAGAGCAGCTCCAGACTCTGGACACCTATGTCAAAGGGATCGAGGCAGAACTACAGACACACAACCGACTCCGCAGCCCTATGCTTCTGGCTTTTACCCCTAGAGGTAGCAACGCTGTGAAGGCCATGGCCAACTGGGAGCGCAAGAGTGCGTACCTACTACGCGAAATCGTCAAGTTCACGACATACGTCGACTGTCTTAGACAAGCTGATTCGAGGAAGCAAGAAATTTATCACGAGAGGGACTTGGCGCAAAGAGCTGCGCGAGGTGAACTCAGTGAAGGTGATATGGACGTCAGCAGTGACGATGAAGGAGATGTAACATTGAGACCTTGAAAAGGTCTATGTACGAACAAGCATACATGCATACAGACGCATCGGTTTTTTTTACGTTTGTTGCATATTTGGAGTTGACATTGACACTTTTATTTTGCTACTTTTTCTTTTCTCGCTCACGGGCAATCAAACAGCCCTGATACCCCCAGACGTTGCGGTTCGCGAATAATTCAGCGGTGTATACAAAAAAGAGAGCGTTGGGCTGATGGTCGAGAAGACGGGGCGTTATTAATGCCTTGGTATTTGGATGCGTATAAAATTAATACTCTTCTTTGTAATGATATTGGGACGATATATGAATATATCACTGAATATGAAGATTGGATGTTTTGACAAAATCTGTGCACAGTTCACGTAAAGCTCATTTCAAGTTGATCTTCAAACTTAATGTAGAATTGGAGTAGTAGAATATTGTAGCTCGTATTTCATATAACGTTGCCAGACCTTGAGTTCTTGGAGGCACCTGATTCAGTATGTACAACACTCCCGATGAACCACTTCCCAAATCATATTGACTTAGCAGTAGTCAAGCATGGAACCGAGAGCGGTCTTCTCGGCGCTGGTAATAGTCAACTGCCAGTAGCTCTTGACCTGGATCCAGCTCTTGGCGTAGGTGCAGTAGAAGCTGGTCAGAGGAGGCTTCCAAGAATCAGGGGACTTGTCGCTCTTTGCCTGGTTGACATTGTCGGTAACTTGGTGATGATGTTAGCTTGTTGCTATTGATGTGTAGAGCATTGGGTTGACTTGCCTGCCCACAGCTGGGGTCGTGTAACATCATTGGCGAACTGAGTACGCTTGGCGGTAGTCCACGAAGCGGCTCCAGACTGAGGTGTGTGAGCTGGTGTCTCCCCAGACGTGAAGGGTCAGATGTTGATGAGGGGACTTACGATCCAAGCGTTCTTCAGTGGAACCATGTGGTCAATGTCGATGTCGCTGGCCTGTGTCCATGTGGCTCCGTCATAGGGAGACTTCCAAGTGCCGGAAGTAGCAGCGCAGGCCGAGTTGGTGACGACGTTTGTTCCGTCTCTCTTCAAGACGTACTCACTAACAGACTTATTAGTATCTGGACGCATGTCTCATGGTATGGGTGTAGTCACCGAGTGTTGCAAGCACCCTCATAGGTCTCCCAGTGAGGGAAGAGGTCTCTGTCATAGGTGCCTGTGTTGGTAGAAGCGGCAACAGTAAGACCACTCAGAAGTGAGCGAGCAGTAGAGTCGCTGGGGATGCCGGGCTAGGTATGTCAGAGATAGTATCATAAGAGGAGTAGTGAAGAGTGCCATACAGGTGTAGGTGCGGCGAGGACGCCAGCAGCAGGAACGAGAAGGGCAAGAGAGAACTTCATCTTGAGATGCTAGAATGAGGACAGCAGACTTGGAGAGGGATGAAGAGAGAGGTGAAGAGCATTGCATACCTTGGTCGCTACACAAGAGTCTTTATATCACTCAAGCCAAGAGAGGAGACCATCTCGGCATTCCTCCTGATCACATCACCATCTCCATACAAGCAAGACCAAGCATATACATAAAACCACAGAATCTAATCTCCTTCCTCATCGGACATGCATCCGGCGCACAATAAGCTCTCCTCTGGCTCTGTCTCTGTCTCTGTCTCTGTCTCTGTCTAGACATGCTCACCGAGGCACGTATATGGGTTTCAAGTCCGTAGATCCCTCAGGCACGAGGCATCGTGATAGGCGAGCAGATGACTATCGGGATATCGAGCGTCTAATTCAGTGCCGGGTTGTAAAGTGCAGGGTCCAGTCAAAGGCTGAGACGCCGCCACGCTGATAAGGTAGTGCCGGTGATCGACATGGGGTGTTTCTGGATGGAGAATAAGAGTGTGGGGATGGGAGGATGGGTAACCTGCCTGTTGGGGAAGTGTGTGTCCGAGGACTGACAGGGGGGTTATTTGCTGTGTATGTGTATGTAGGTATGTAGATAGGTAGGGATAGTTAGGTAGGTCTTGGTGGGGTTTTGTGTCAACTGTTGTTTATACTGAAATAGAATGCAAGGATGGGAGAGGGAATAAGAGAGACAAGTGAAGCAACCAGATGTAACAGTGTGTATATACAGTCAGAGAAGAAAGAAGAAGAAGAAGAAGAAGACAAAAATGCATCTACATCTACCTCATGTCAAATTTTGATCTTCACTCCGAGGCTGTTATCTTTGGAGGACTTGCTGTTCTAGGCAATGTGTCTCATGACTTGTGTACTGCTTCGACTAGACTCAAACGAGATGTGTAGATCTCTCATGGTGATGCTTGATTAGGAAGTCCGATATCGTAGTGCTCGAAATATGCGCTTGTCGGTCACCTACTTATCTATCTATCGCCATGGTCTAGTTTTCGTCCAAGACATGAAGAGTTTGGCTAGCTACTATTGGATGGGAGGAAAGAAAACTCAGGACCTTGATCCTAAATGATAAAAAGATTTAGGGAATTTAGTATGAGTTTAAGATATCTTTTGCTGAGTTTATTCCAACGTCCTGTATCGACGTCTAATGTTGTCTTGCTCCCTAGGGTTGGCTAGATAGTCCACTGTCAACTGCCAGATCACCACAGCCAGACAGACACAAGCAACCATTGGTGGGTTTTCTTCTATTTTTCTTCTCTAGCGAGCGATTACTGTACATGTCCCCCGATTACAATTATCATACAACCAAATCTTTGCATTGCGATATCGTGTCGGAATGCTGCACCGGATTTGCTAATTCCTTCTCGGCCTCATGCCCGTTTTGTCTGATTACAGCCGTCTCCGGTATCTCTTAGATGCTTTGTATGCCGGTATCTTGCACGCCCCCCAAAAAGATTGATGAAATTAAATGCATTATACAGAGCTTCTTTTCGGGGAAAAGATCGAGTTAAGGGTTCTCAAATGTGTCTCGCGGGAGGTTTCCGGAAGTTGTTGGCCTGAAGCGCCATTTCTGCACCAGGAAGCCGTCTACCAGACTTCGGTTCTCATCTTCGGCTTCTCGAGCTTATCAGTATCATAGGCTGATTCTAGGGGTATCCTTGGAAGAAGAGATGGTTTGAAGGAAGCGAGTGTACATGTGGCACATGATCTCGCTGTTCGATGCCATCGTACCCCACAGCAGTGCCATCAATTTCAGCCTGGTGAAGACCAGCGCCGAGTCTGTCGACCTGCCTCTTGAATTTGGTGCATCCTTTGGCGGCTTGGACAATGTACTTGATAGAGTGGGCGTACTTGCGCGGTCTATATCGGGGGTTGATGTCCAGGTTGACCCTGGCTCCGCAGCGGACCATCTTACTGAACAAAGTTTCCATGGCCTCATTACCCCCGTGTGCCACGATGGCTTGGGCCATAAATGACAGTGCAGTGTTGCCGCACGCGTCGGGGATGTTGAGAGTGTTTTGGTGAACTGCAGGGTCGTAGTTCCGGCGAAACTTCATTTCCACTTCGCTCTTCAGGCATTTGTCAAGTAGGTACTTGATCATGTATTGCCTGCCGCTCCAATCTATAAGGGCAGACTGAGCCAAAATCAGGACTGGTGACTCGTATGGCCAGCAAGTTCGGACCATGCGGTGGTGAAACCCGTGATTGTCCATGAGGTCGTCCGCCATTCTCTTACATGTAGCTCTCATAGTCCCGTTGTTCGCCGATTCCAATGCAAGTCGAAACACACAGTGGAGTGGGTTGTTACCAAGGGCATCGACCATGTAGGGTCCAAACCCGATGCCAGACTCCAGGAGGTATCTCAAGCCCTTGGAGTTGAAAGCCTGGATAGCAAAATGGAGAACCGAGTACCTCTCCAGTCCTCCAGGGGCTTCGTTGAGTGAAGGGTGAATCTTTGCAGCGTGCCTCAACAGCTGGACAGAGTATTTCTGATCTGTCAAAGATGCCGCCAAGTGATGGACGGTCATCGACCAAAAGGGAGGCTCTGGAGGTGCCACGCCGTGAGCTGCAAAAGCAACAGCCAAGTTGAAATTTCCAACGTAAGCCGCGTCCCAGAATTCGTCTAGGAGATCGAAGGTTCCAACATCTTGCAGTATAAGAGGTGCCAGAGCAGGTTTCCACCGGAGTCTCGGGAGGTGATTGGAAAGCCCGGTCTCTTTTCCCAACTGATCTCTGAATTCCTGTGGCAAGACGAGGTGAAGATTCTTGACCTCCTGATACTTAGCACCCAGGCGTCCCAGCTTTCGGATCACACGGTGCTGCTGCTGAGCTGCAGCGATATGAAGCAGAGTAAAGGTTGCTCTGGCATTCGCAGTACTTCGCTTGTATACTTTGTTGATGTTGACGCGTAGGAGCGCAACAGGGTACTTGGAGAGAATGCGGTAGCCCAGTCGGTCAGAGCAGTTGAAAACGGCGTGTTGGAGGCCTTTGTGGCAGTCATCCTTCAGGTCTTGAGCGTAGAGGTAAACCTGGAGTGAGATAAACAGGGATTTGTTCGTAAGGATTAAGTTCCCAAGGCTGCCCAGATTCTGGTACCCAGGCTCTTGCTCGGTCCGTTCTCCGAGCTCCTCGACGATCAGGAGCAGGAGTTCTGCGATCCTGAACGTCTTGACTGCCGAAGTATTGACCAAGCCTTGGGAGGGATTGGGGCGACGGATCAAAGGGGACGACATCGTGAATCCTGCGGTAGAAGACCAGCTTATGGTGGTTGTTGGGATGAATATTGAGCCCAATATCGTGAGAAGAAAGGGATTGGGTTGATGAGTGAGAGGGGAGCAGGGAGAAACTGAGATGCCCTCAGCGGCGGGTGTTATGTATATGGGAAATCAAATAAAAACACGCGACTTGAGTGAAAGGATATAAATGAGAACTTGAAAGGATATTAATGCCACAGGGAAATCAAGTATAGAGTTGAGGTGGTGGCCACTCGCCTATGCTGGCGGTTCCCGATGTTTTGGTGGTGGAGGAGAAAGGAAGAGCGGAGGGTGGGAGACGAAAATATGTATCCCGCCGCAGCAGAATTAGGCTACTACTGCAGCACTCAAAACATGTTATAGCACCTCAGCTCCTCCAGAAGATTCCTCCTGGTTTCGATCAATAGCACTAGCCCAAAGGCCAACCGCACTAAAGAATTATGATTACTCCCTAGCACCCCTTATGCCTTGGATTTGTTGCAGGATCACTGCCGAGACTATTCTATTATATGTCATAGTAGAAGCCACTGCATATGGCCATCATGCACAAGTAATAATTGGTTCATAGCAGCGGCAATGCGGAACATGGTGGCCTAGTTTCCAATATCGCAGTGCTCCAGTGCTGCCCAGCCTGCCCGGCTATTCCACCAAATCTGCTTTCCAGGCTTATTGACTACCAATTTAGCTCGAATGGATGTATCCCAAACTCCGATGTTGATTTGAGTCTTTGTGTATGCCGCGTTGTGGAGATAATCGACAGTGACGCATCTATCTAGAATCGTCCGAAATCCCATCACTGGCGAGTGGGGGTTAACTTAGCAACAGCCAGTGCCCTAATGACACTGTAAACAATGCTTTTATACAGTTTTGAGGCTATCGTTTGGTGGATTCTGAATATTGCTCTTCCGAATCGTAGAATGAATCCAGGTCAGGGGATTTGAGCTATTCTCGCTCGATCAAACAGTGACATCTAGACACCATTGGAGTGTTCATCAATCAAAAGTTACCACGTATATCTTGCCTAACAGCCAGAGCATCATTCTGTACCTGCCAGAGTGTCACATCATTGTATTTTACATTTGTAGTGTCATCGTGTGCCAACGGTCTGGAAAGCTCCTTGCTCATCTCATTCAAGTATCCCAGCACCAACACCATGCTTCCTGAAGAAATATTCACTCATAGTCATGAAGTTCACTAACGGAGAACATTTATGAAAGCTATTGAAGTACAAATGCGGCACGCCACCGAAATAAGGTCAAGAAGGCGAAGGCGCAAACCCGTGACCTATGTGAACTGGCCATTTACACTTCTCTATGGTAACTACGCGATAGTCAAAGCCAATTATACACTGAACACGTGTTGAGGAATACAACCAGAACCGGAATAGTGATAGCTCTAGGATTCTGGGACGTGAACGCGACAGAGGGACAGCGGCGGCCTTGTTTCTGAGCCATGGACGACGTACGAGTAGCGGAGTAGCTTCAAGTGAGATTATTTAGCGTTGCTGGCACAGATATAGTGCTGGAAGCGGTAGCAGCAAGAGATTCGTTGCAGAGGTCGAGATTGGTGGGACAATGGTCGGCATGAATCTGCAAATACGGAGGGTTAGCTGATGAAACCAGTGAAACCAGTGAAGCCTCAGAAGATCCAAGATCTCGAATGTGAGCCCAGCTCACCATCCCAGTTAGGTTCTACCAAGCTGCTAGGTGTACAGTAAGACTGTAAGTCGTCCGTCTTGTGGTACGAATGGAGTTTCTAGACCTGTGTAAGAACACACTGCTATGAACCCAAGTCACTCCATTTCATATAGTATAACACTAATGAGATGGCTCATTCGAAGAGTAAACAGTGGCGACTGAACCTTGAATTACAAGACAGAGGCAGGAGTTTGCAGTGGTGGAAATGGTCGATCAATTTTGTCGAGGAAGAGGAAAGAAGGGAGAAACAAGTCGAGACCTCAAAAAGGTGAGAGAAGCGTGAAGTAGTGAACACGGTCGATACATGATCAGCGAGACAAACGGTTTTGGTCACGAGTCCCTGAGCCAGGGTGAAGATGATGGATGTCAGGTGAAAAAGCGGAGGGCAAAGAGAGGGTGCCCCGAGCCCAGTAAATTTATCTAGTAATCATACAAGACCAACAGCCAGTGTCTACCTACTAAGGTAGGTACCTAGGTAGTGATGCCAGGTCCCCTCAACTGCAGCGCAAGCCCTTAAGATGTAGGCAATGCACCCTCGAACGTCGTCGCCAATCAAGGTACCTTACGTAGGTGGTGGACATATGTTGGAACAATTTAAGTTGACAGGTCCACCGTCCCCGAACTAACTATGCCGTTCTTTGTCCTAGGGCAGATCCTGAACATGGGGGACCCTGTAGTGTCGATCTCGACAGGGATGATAGTGGATGTCGACTCGGCCGAGTCCTTGAGGTGACTCTTGTGTTCATGCATGTATGTTATGGGAACATTCAAGAACATATCCCACCGCTGGTGATGGATTGTTCCTGTGGCGGGATGTTATACCCCTGAGAGGAGAATAGTACTCAGTTCAAACATTCATTCAGGCTTGTCTGTATCACAAATGAACAGTTGCTCTGTCTCATCTCAGTGGGAGCAAATTCATCAGTCTCAGTGCCGTGCTCCCTGCCCGTAGATTGCTGCAGCATTTGCTTGTGGTGACTTCGTAGGCCCAGGCACCGGAAGTATTTTTCTTGTTCCTACCTGTGTACCTATGTTCGCCCACCAGCTCCCGAAGAAGTTAGTCCTGCAAAGAGCTGCATCCCCCATACCTACCGAAATACTGGCTTCAATATCTTTACACTGATCTCGAACTCACATGCTTCAATTTTTCTTCATTATCTCATTCTTACATCGTCACTGACCTAACACTATCGATGCTGTCAAAGTTTTACCATGCAATAACTAGGTGCTACCTAGCAGTCAACATTCTTTTCTTCCTCTGCTGCAGGATTCTATACACCTCGGTAACTCTAATAGGGAGCTTCCTCCGTCAGAGCACCATCGATAGATACCTATGACACTCCCTTTGATCTTCAAGATACAACAGGCGCATAAGACAACTCGCACTGGCCCATACCTACGAAGATGGGACCCCGAAACACACGCGTCTCCTCCACCAGAAATAGTGTGGATATTCGCACATACGACTCTCAGTTGTCTTTTCAACCTATGATGCTATCGTCTGTTCTATCGAAAAACCAGTGCAAGGTATGTTTCACCCAAATCGAAGGAGAACCTTGGACAATGGTCGCCTCAACTTTGTGACCTCTTGACTAACTGGCTTTCGGACCAGATCAAGATCTTACGTCGAGCTGGAAACAATCCAAAGGACTTCCTTTCACCAACTCTTACAGCTCAAGCCATTTGGTAGCTTCTTCTGTGTGTGCCCTAAAAGTCAACGACATTGACTCTCGCGATTTTGAAACACCACCTGCCATCGTCGAAGTGGACGCTCTTCCGTTCAACTCCGAAAAAGGAAAGGCGACCAGTATAAGATACAATCAAGTCAAATAAAGCGACCTGGTGTCTTTGCTACCAAGAAATCAGTCTTAACACTGATACTCAGCATCCACAATCGTCGACTGTCCTTCACGCCACAAATCGAAGCGGGCACCTTCACGCGAGACCAGCCAACATTGCCACACTGCAATTTCCCGACTCTGGGTAGTAGATTTTAGGCTGATATTAATGGTGATCTGTCCCTTTCAGCTACCATGAACTCATTTAGAAATCTCTCTTTCCGCGGTCTTTCCATCCTCATGTCCAGATTCCGCGTTCACCACATACATCACTTCTACCCACTCAATCTTTCCAATAACCCATGACGGGCATCTCTGATCCATAATTCGAATGGATACGCAATGACGGAAAGCTGGCCTAAAGTCAATGATGTGAAGCCGGAGGGCTGTAGCGAAGGTCTCGTTACGGGCCCCGGCAGTTAGGGCAGATGCCCACATGGAACAATGGCCAACAAGCAAGGTTTAAGACCCTGAGTATTTTCTATCTTGTGGTATTATCTTGGATCTCACCAACAACTCATTTGGCTTGCAATTAAGATGCTGACTCTCTCGCCTCTAGCCCCTATCTTGACAGTTCGTATACCGATCCTCCCCGCCATCAATAGAAAATAAGAATACTCAATACTAGCCACCAGACAAAAACCGAAAGACCGAGGGCAGGCCAAATATAAGTACCACGAGCGATCGAATGCGAATGCCGTGTGCCATGGCTCAACAGCGGGGAAGCCGGACAACACGAAGTCGAAACACGTTGGGACATTGGAGGGTCCAGCCCAAGTCACCTCGGGAGTACCATGAAACATGGCCGTTGGGATTATAAGCCGTTGCTAGTACACGAGGTACTTCAAGTCAGTATGATGGTTCCATGATTCACCAAGTGTTCCATTGCGGGGCCCCGCAATTCTACAATATGGGCAATGTGATATGGCATGACTCAAGCGAGATGAGCCGTCTATGGCCCTCACATAGTTAAGTGGCACAGTTACGCGTGGTTAGTAGCCTCACCTCTTGGTTCGCCTCTGGCAATATGCTCTCCAGACCATAAGCTAGGCTGCACTACTGCCACGGCAAACTTGTATATCTTCACAGATTGTGTCAGAGAAGCGGTACTGGTTCAAATACGCATCGAGGAATCTCACCATTTGTTCCATAGAAGATTGGTCTTGACGAGTTGTATCGTATCGTATTCTCATAATCGATCGACTCGGAAGCCCAATATCCTTACCATCCTCCAGCCATCATAAATGTATTAGCACCTCAAAAGCAAGTCCAACTCCAGCCCGCGCCCAAATCTCAAATCCTGAGGGCCGTTTCCACGACTAGTACCTGTGTCGTGTAGAATAATCCTTGGGACTGACGACCAAACCACGACCCTTCTTGGCGCCTCGATACACCGTTTCGAAAATGTCAATGAGTTCTTGCTTGTCCTCAAGAACCCACTTGATCTTGTTGTTGTCACCGGTACCCAGATCAATCATCATGTGTTTGTTTCGGAAGAAAAACATGAGGGAGCAAGGGTCATACAGCTCGTACATCTGGTTGAAGTCGGGAACCTGGTCGATATCGCAGAGATAAATCACGGCGAAGTTGCGCACCTTATCGGCGATCTTGTACAGTACTTCGTCCTGGCGCATACAATCTGGATCCCAATCACGTCCGAAGCGAATGACGACAAGGCGATCTTCCTCTGAGAGGTTGTTAGTTGATGACAGGCAGAAAGGCTTGGGGGGTTGTATTTACCTGAGAGAATGGCTTGGTCCACATGCCAGCCAGTGTTGAGATGGGGAAGTACGACGGAGCCCATGATGAGTGTACGAAAGCGCAAACGGTTCGTGAGTATGTGGTTATACGGCGACTACCTGGGTGAGTAGTTGGTGATGATACGATCAAATTTGGTGGTGGTGTTTTGGAAAAGGAAAGAAACTATGATGGAAGGCGGCGGGATGTCATGAGGTGGGCGGTGTGGGGCATACGCTAGCCTTATTTGGCCTCAGGTGAACAAACTCTCACCTTGGCGGAATATAAACCCAGCGTAGGAGCACAAAAGCTTATACCAGTATTTGAGAACAGTTTTTTAGCAGCGAAAGACTGCAAGACAAACCATCAAATTCGTTATATAATCTGCCACTAGAATACTTTCCTGAATCATCTCCATATAAACTTTTTACTTAATGTTAAGCCCATGGGACTCATCATCACTTATCAAACTCATCAATGACACTCCTCGGTTTGAAATACTTCCCCAAAGGCTCAAACTTGAGATGGCCAAGTCCAAAAGCCTCGGGACCTCCAATCTTTATCCCTCTCTCAGTTCCAGTCCACCTGTCACTTGCTGCTATTCCCAATACCACAACAAGCAACCCATAGCGATATTCAGGTGTCCCAACTGCCTCTCCGTCCTGTGCATCAATTACACAAACCAAATCAGGCACAATGGCTAGGATATCTTCCTGAAGCTCCTCCTTTCGATCAGGATGGACTCTCAGGGCAGCTATATTCTCGTTCTTGAAGGGAATCTTGACAACCCCCTTGAACTGTTCAGAAATATCCCCTGAAGCCACATGTTCATCGCGAACATCAGCCCCTTCGATGAGACATTCGCCATAAACATGCCCATTTCTCAAAGTTCTTTCCACGCCAATAATTTTGCCTTTCCACAGAACCTTGCCCGCTCCTGGGCCGCCACACTCTTCAATGATTGTTTCGGCGACATTGTCTACGCGGTTCTCTTTCCGCGCCCAAGCTACGGCACGCCCTATTCTCCAGGACTGTGATAGCGTATGTTCGACAGCCCAGCGTTTTGTCTCTTCTCCTGTGACAGGTGCATCTGCGGCGCCAACTTGGGAGCCCATCTCACTCAAGGCAGAGCGGATGATACGCTCGACAGCTTCGTCGGAGGATGCTTTGGGCATGACGAGCACGTTGCCGTTACCGTCGCTCACGGCGATGGGTGACCAAATAGTGTCCCTTTCCTTGAAAACGACAGGTGTTGTTTGCCATTTTGTGGGATATGCTCTCCCCATCCAGTCTCCGTCAACTGTAGGGATGTCCATCTGATCACTTGACCCAAGCAACAAGCCGCTCAGTCCGTTGGCGCCTCCGACTTCAACAGATATCATGTGAGTAGCGGAAGTATTGCACATCTTGTACAATTCTTGCTGAGCTTCGAGTAGCTCATCACCAGCTAGCTTCTCGATCGCCACGGTAGGACTCCCTGCTCCACCACCACAACCAACTCGTGCATCGTCTGGAAGATCTTCAGGATTGACAACTCTGATTATCGCGCCATTGCGTAACTGAGTTCGTAGTCGTAACATCAGACCGTAGGGGCTACCGCCGCCTCCAGTACCAAGAATATAGCAACCTGTTGCGATCCATGATACATCCCTTTCAGAAACATACCAAGTTCGGTTTCTCACATCGGGACGGTATGAAAGGATATCAAAATCCTCATCTTGTTGTTTATTATGCTGGAAGCCTGTGTTCTTAGTATTCTTCTCATCGTGTCCCATGTTTTGGTGGTCTCCGTGCTCAGCCTGAGATTCAGGGGCAACTACTTCTTTCGAGAAATCGAAGTCTCCAGTCGCCCGAACAACAAAACGAGTTTTGTTTTCAACATACTGTCACCTCGTTAGGAAGCTCCAGAGCATCGCATATGAGTTGCCTACCTGGAGCGGGAAAACCTCCTTCTCAACAACTTTAACAGTCGATCTTAGAGCTCCAGCCTCAACCGTCTTTTCAACGGCAGCCCGACTAACCTCATCAAGGCACTCATTCGTCGATTTGGATACTGTCGACTGAACTGTATCCACAACCGCACTCACCCTTGCTATCGCAGCGCCAATAGCATTGGCGACCTGTGACCACTGCGGTTTGATAACCTTGCTCGCGCCCCTGAGCTCATCGGGAGCAATGACAGCTCCACCTCCCACCAAAATAACTGGTATGTCTTTGGGTGATGTCTTCATAGTGTCGATAGCCTTTTCTAGCTTCCGTTTGATTGTCACGATAACCTTGGTGAGCTGATCCTCCGAAAGAGCGCCTTTCATGAGGGCTGGGTCGCCAATCTTCAGCTCTGGATTTGTTAGGACAGTGCAATCGGTTGCTGTAAGAACATTTCCTCCAAATACAACTGCTTCGTCCGGGAGTTTATATCCCACGCTATCTGGCCCAACAGAGACACTACTGTCTATTCGTACGATAGAACCTCCGCCGAGACCGATGCTCTTGATATCGGGGCAAGAAAAGTTCATCCTAATTCCCGAAAGATCGCTGTAGGCTGCCTGTTGACGAGGAAAGCCGTTCTCCAGTAGAATTCCGACATCAGATGTGGTTCCCCCAATATCAACAACCATCATGGCTTCGTCCAGGTCGCCTTGCACAAGGAAAGCAGCTCCTCTCATACTGTTGGTAGGGCCGCTTGAGAAAGTTCGGATCGGTAAACGAGCAGCAAGCTCGCCAGACAGGACAGTGCCATCATTCTGAGTGATGAACACTGCACAATCCAGGCCTAGCCTCTTAATCGGTTCGTGAAAAGATCGAATGGTCTTTCGAGCGAAAGGCAGAATGGAGGCGTTGAGAATAGCTGCGTTTTCTCTTTCGAGAAAGCCAAGATTGGCAACCTCCTTGGAGCACACAACATCACAGCCGGGTATTTCAGTTTTGATTATATCTGCCGCTCGCTCTTCTTGTCGTTCCACTGTATCAATAGGACTGAAAATACCGACGACGACCACACTATTAATCCCTTTTTGTTTAATAACCGAGCACTGCGTTTTGATCTCGTCTGGATCAATATCAGATATCAAACGGCCATCAACTTCCAGTCCTCCATGTACCAGGGCATAGTGACCCAGGATAAGCTCTCTCATGTCATCAGGCCAGTCGACACATGGCAAGTTATGCTTCGAGAAGGGTCCGCAGAGACGAATCACAGCAACCCGTGACAGTCTCGCAGCATCTCTATCAACGACAGCATTCACAAATTGCGTTGTCCCTATAGTCACGCTTGCGACTTCGTGAGGGCGGACAGAACTTGAGCTGAGCATCGTAGTGAGTGCATTGTTAATACCGACACTTGGGTTCGCCGTTGTCGGTTCTTTGTGCCATGCAATGATTCCACGATCAGGCTCTGAGCTCAAGAGGGGATCAATAAGGACACCGTCTGTGTTAGTCCCACCAACGTCGATTCCAATGCGAAGACGCCGCGATACTATAGTTGTGCTCATGCTGGATAGTTATGCCCACTCGTGGTGTCGTCTGTTGATATTCCAGTTTTTGGCAGATAATCGCTATGCGCTGGATAACTTGCGGGACAACAACTGCCGCAATGTGAGCGAGTTTTATGATAGAGTAACAAGGTCATGTCACACAATAGTTTGACCCGATGCCGGGCGATTGAGCTCCGCACGAGAGAGCTTGGTTATTATTGGCCTCATGTGGGGGAAGGATCAAGCATGTTGGAGCTTCAGATCAAAGATAGGATCCTTATCAATCAGTAGGATCTCAAGAGTCACCAGTGCATCGAAAGTCTTGACCAGCAATCAGCCCTTATGCTCTAGTAAAGAATTTGAACCATCCATTTCGCCCAAATGCTTTATCCTACCACTGCCTGTCATATTGATGACAGATCTTTGACCAGTTGACAAAATTCATCATCTTCAAAGTAAATCGAAACGTGAATTCTTATTCATACAATGATTACCATCCATCCTATGACTATGAGAGGCATCGAGCTGCAGTATAATCACAACTCTGACTATCCCCATCGATCACCTATCCACATCTTGTCCTCGAGTAATAAACAAAGCTATCATAGTATACTAAGGCTTGTATGCTGTTTCTGCGTTCCTCCTAGAAATATTCCAGCCGAGGAGTACAGAAAGAAGAAAATAAATAAAAAAGTTCGCCTCTCAAAGAAAGGATCATGGAATCTTGCGTATTTCTCACGACGCCTTTAACGCCAAATCTGTGTGTACCCTCCCGGTGCGTCGCTCCGCATGAAGCCCTGGCCAGAAGTTGGTAAAAAATAACGAGTCTCATGCAATCATTGTCCCTATGCCAGTCCCCGTGCTTTCGTCTATTGCAAAATACAAGGTCCATTGTTTGGTGCTTAAATCTCGATCGTCTTCATCGATTCGTCCACCACCTCGGGTTTTTTGCCGTTCGCCTTGGGAGATGGTTCTTCTTCCACCTTGAGTAGGTCGGATTCCACTCGGGGAATGCTGGTAGTCACTTTAGGAGTTTTGCTGTCCTGGCTTTGCCGGGGGCTTTCGACCTCTACAAGCTTCTCGGGCTGGATGTATGCGTCGGCCAGCTCTGGGATTGTTGTCTCCTCTGTGACCTTACTCAAAGGTGTCGCCTTTCCGTATCCTGCGCCTGGTCGGGGGCTGGCCAAAGGAGATGATCCACTGAGTCGTTGCATAGATCGGCCCCGGGGCTCGCCATTCTCACCACCACTACCATAAGGTGAAGAAGAACGTGAGCCAAGAGGAGAATTAGGCTTGGGTCCCATTGACCTTCTGTTTGAAGCTGCCCTTCTTCCGTATTTCTGATCCATTCTCCACCGGAGGATGCTGAAGTACGATGGCTCAACTCTTGTCTCTTTGAACTCTCGCAGCTTCAATTCGTTGGTTTCCTCATCCACATACCACTTGCCACTGTTGAGGTCATCCGCGACAACAGCCAGGAACGCAGCCCAAGAGCGAGCGACAACGTACTTAGTATCGTAGTCACGACCAAACAGAATGATCTGACCCCACTGGCCACCAGGACCAGGAGCCAGATCGACGGCCAAGTTGTTGC